GGCAAGCCTGGCATTGAAGCCTCAGCCCGAGTCATACGAATCATACGGATCATACGGATCATACGGATCATACGGTCATACGGTCATACGGCCACGGCTCGGCACCCCGGGAGTACCAACCAGGTAACCAGCCTGGCATCGAAGCCTCGGCACCTACCTGGCATTGAAGCCTCGCCCTGCCAAGAAACACGAGAAAACGGGCGAACCAGTATCAAGGGTCGCTGGGCGAACCAGTATCAAGGGTCGTTGGGCGAACTCGTACTAAGGGCCGTTGGGCAAGTCAGTACTAAGGGCCGTTGGGCAAGTCAGTACTAAGGGCCGTTGGGCGAACTCGTACTAAGGGCCGTTGGGCGAACTCGTACTAAGAGCCGTTGGGCGAACTCGTGCTAAGGGCCGTTGGGCCGTTGGGTGACTATCCTACGTGCCCGCTCGGCACCGTGCCCGCTCGGCACTCCCAACCTAAAGCGCCAGCTCGGCACTGTGCCCGCTCGGCACTCCTAACCTAAAGTGCCCGCTCGGCACTGCCTACTCCACTAGAGTGCCCGCTCGGCACGTTTACCTAAGTGCCCGCTCGGCGCTGTGCCCGCTCAGCACGCCTAAGTGCCAGCTCGGCGCTCCTAAGTGCCCGCTCGGCACTGGAAAAAAAAAAAAAGGCCGCGGGCCCGAGCGCTTTTTCCTCCACCGGGTCGACGCCGAGGGTCGCGGGCTCACTGTCCTGCGAGGGATCGAGCGCGACGGTTCGAAAAAAAAAACGACGACGGGGGTCCTCCACGCGCCCGCTTCGGCGTCGGCAAGGCAGAGCCCTGACACGAAAGCGAGGCCGATCGATTTCAACGGTCGACGGATGAGCCTTCGAGCGCTCCAGCTCCTGCCGGAGCGCGCGAGCATCCGCCTGGCGGGCGCAACGGGGGGGGCAGGGGAAACGAAAAAGACGCCCGGTAGCGGGCCTGAAAGCCTTGGGTCCACTGCCTCTCGCCGCGGAGCTCGGTCTCGAGCACGGCCACGCGAGTGGCCTGACAAGGAAAAAAAACCAAAAAGGGAGCTGCCTCACTGGCGCGATGTGGTCCAGCTCGCAATTTCCCGCAGATATCGCGCAACCGCACAGCGCGCACAGGCCTGCGCCCTGACTGCCCCCCTGCCTCCAGCGCGCACTTTCTCTACAGGGGGCTCATGCTTCACGTTCGTTCAGCCCATTGCGGTTTCCCATCAACGTAGCGCCCCACAGCTGTGCGCCGTTTGCTGTCTTGAGGCTGCCGTTGTGCATTTGAGTGCGGCATGTCTGCTTGCAGCGGTTGGGGCCGGTTGCGAGCGGCAGCAGCTCCAGTGAATTGTGTACTCAGTAAACTGTTGCCCGGAATTCCTCCACTCGCCAACACTGGCGATACCATGAGCTCATCCAGCTGAAACTGCGGGAGTTGGACACCGTGGAAACGATCCAAGACGGTGAAGCCATCTCTGAAGTGTTTCTTTCCCAATATGAAGCAGCCAAACAATGCCGAAATACACAAAGAACCAACCCATGCAACAACATAGCAACGACTGCTTACTCGGCAACCCGCGTGGTTTCTTCGACAAGGCTTGCCCGTGCTTTGCTTGTTACTCCGTGTTTTTGGGCAAAACAGCACAAAAAAGGTTGTGTCCCGTTGCACTTCCGCATTGGCAAAGCCAACACCTTTGCCAGGACCTCACAACGCATTGCTCAGCAACAGCACAATCGAGAGTCGCCCAGTGCCCTCCCGGAGGGTGTTCCGCTTACCTGACTGGAGATGCACCAATCGCATTTGAGCGACGCTTCTTGAGAGGCCCACTTGTGCGAAAAAAATGTCTCAAATCCACATCGACGTCGGCAATTTCCAAGAACATGCCACAGCTGGCCCTCTATGAGTTGTTCCTGCAACTTGAAGCGTCTTCAAGGCATGGGAACACATCGCTTGATCATGTGTGAAACTAGCGGGCTTTTTTGCAAGAAAGCATCCTTCCCTTCCCTTCCCTTCCCTTCCCTTCCTTCGCTTTCTCTTGCGCGCTTTTGCACTCACAGGAGCAGCAACGCGTCCATCTGCGCAATTATACACCCACAGCTCATGAGAGAGTATCTCTTCTCCTGTTGGCGTCCCCTGTGGCTTGCCTTAAAAATCCTCTTGCAATGTATCCCACAGACGCACATGCAAGCTGTGCAGCCTTTCGAAGTTTGAGGGAGCGATGGCTCAAGAGTCACGGGTGACGTGAATGCCATCAAGTCTAACCGGAATTTCAAAACCTTTTGATCCCTGTGAAACAAAAAAGGCAACTTGCAAGCTCGAGTTCATTGCAGTGCAATGTTGTTATGGGAAGTTGAAGCACGCAAGTAACGTAAGCGCGCCGATTCATGCCAGGACAAGGCCAGGAAGCCTCGGAAGGGCAGGATGGGCAGGTTCCAACCCCCCCCCTGTTTCGGTGGCACCCCTTGTTGGGCTGTTGACCAGCCGCAAGGAATCTGGCAGGAGCCCTTCCAAGTCAAAGGTCAGCTCTTGTAGGTCGTTTCGGATAGCTTCCTTTTACACCGATACCATCACACCGCCACAGTTGTGGAACCAGCATGGACTTGTTGCTTGGAAATGCTACTTTTTGTTGAGTTCCCCCTCGTATTCTTCGCGTGCCTCTCCCTCTTCCATTCCAGCGGCAATGGCGCCAAACCTGCTACTTCCTCGAACTCTAGCATAGGGTACTCCTCGAACGCCTATTATTCAAGATATTCACCGTGCCTGCCGAAAGCATGCCCACCTTCTGCGAGAGCTCGCTGAATATGTTGGTGAACGCCGATCTATCCATCATGTCGGCTCTGTCGCTCCACCCCTTCGTTCACAACTCTGCCTGATCCGGGAAGCCCGAGAAAGCGCAGACAGTCTGCTGTCGCATTGAAGGCTGCAGCCGTCACCAAATGCCCACTGCTCGAAGACTCCGTAACGGTTTGGCAACCTGCTTGAAAACAAGTTCGAAAAGAGAAAGATGCGGTAGTAGACTGGGATTCGTGAAGTTCCATCAAATTCATGAATTTTGAGCGCTTGAATTTCACCACCTGCCTAGGGCTCAGCTTCACAGAGTGACCATCAGAAAGGTGCCACAGGATGATCTCGGAAACTAGCGTTTGAGGATCTTGGCACACCAGTGTTGTTGGAATCCTTGGCGAATCACAAACCGCTGTCTGCATCTTCGGCTTGCTGCAAAGCTCCGGACCTTCAAAACCAGGTGTTGGATAAGCGATGTCTTGCTGGCGCTTCTGGCTCCACAAGGCCAAAACCGTGGGCTTGTTGGTCCCGTTCCTTTGGATCTTCTCTGCTTCACAACACTCTGAACAACCGCCTCCCGTTCGAGAAACGAACCTTGTTGCTGATTCCGCTGTTCAAAAAGCGGTCTTCGAAGCCAAACAGGTCTGTCTGTGGCGCTAAAACGGGGGAGCTCAACCTGCGCGGGAGGTGCCGAGATTGGAACTGGCTATGTAGGAGGGAATGCTTTCGCGATGCTCCACGTCGCCTTCTGCTCGTTGAGCAGGAATGCTGGGCAAGGACAAACAACAAACCAATCCCACACTGGTCACTGGCAGGTCAAGCCGAAACACACAATCGAGAAGGAACACACAAATGCCTATGGACGCAAAGCTCGGGACGCACGACTGAGACTGCAAGACGCCACGGCTTCTGCACTCGTCCTCATCTTGCTCAGCATTCCCCCGGTTGCCTTCAATTTGCAACACGATGCTGCAAAGCCGCTCGTGATCTGATCTTTTGGCAGAAAAGGCAAACAGTCCCTGCCTCTTCCCTTTCTGTCACAGCTCTTTTTAAAGCTTTCCTGAGCTCAAACTTTTACCGCTCTTGCAACGCCTCACAGACGTGCTGCTCAAGCGGCGCAAGACCTCTACCATTTCGTCTTCGTCGCTGTGCCCAGCAACTGTTGAGCTTCTGAAATCACCTGAGCGAGAAAGAGCTGACACGTCGCTTCGCCTCCTTGCGATCGAGCCGGTCCTTTCAGCCCAAAACCGACCGTTCAATCCTGATTCACATGTCCCCAGACTCGGCACTGTTGTCCTGTCAACGGCAACCAACAAAACTTGCAAACAGGCTTCAGAGAGGGGGAGTCCTCGCAGCCCTCGCGCAAAGCGAGTCTGGCATGCAACAGGCGCCGTTTTGTCTGACAGAGCAAAGTGCAATCCACACCAGTGGGCCTGAGAATTGGGCCAGTGCGCTGCGGTCCTGGCAAGGCAGCACAAACAGAAACATCACAAGGACTTCACGGTCCTTCAGTCCAGGAACTCCTCAACAAAAATCATGGGCAAAAGAGGGACTCCTAAAACCCGAAACCCCCGGTTGCCAAGACCCAAGCCGTGCTCGACCACTGCACGAGCAGCGCCAACGCAATCCCGAGAATGCAGAGGCACATACCTGGCCGCCGCAAACGCGGACACCGAAGCGTCACCAGCGGCCTCAGCTTCTTGTCCCAGTCTGCACCGCCGCCATGGCCATTGCAAAAGCGCTTGGGTGGCCTACGATTCCTCAGGCCTTGACACCGGACACATCAGGAAACCATTGCAAGCAGGTATTGTGTTGTGTCAGTGTTGATGAAAACTCCAATCTGCGTCTTCACGAGTTCTCTTCTCCCAACCCCTGGTTTCCCAGGCAAGCCCGCCTCTGAAAGCGGTCCCAGGAAAAAACAAAACCCTGCACAGCTTGAGTGCAACCTAAGCTCGAGGCTTTTACCCTTAGCCTGCCTTCGGCATTAAAGCTAAAGAGCGGAAGCAAAAATGCATCAAAGGGCGCAAACGCGTCGAAGATGAAAATGAGCAATCTGGGGGAGTCGGGTAAAAAAGTGACGCCCTGAGCACTGCGCAGCACGGCCCTTGCCTCACAGCTCCTGACGACTCGCCAGCGTCGCCTGCTTCAGCTTCGACACTTCTGCAAAACCGAATTGCGCACACATGAGCAACAACGGTGCCCGCAGGACCTGCTTGACAGCAAGTGAAACTCCTTTCTGCTCGGCAAATCCTCAGCGTCTTTAAACTGGCCACTACGGAGATGATTGGGACTGGCTGTCCAAAATTTCGGCCGCAACCTTGGCATGCAGCTCTGAGGCAAACCTGTACTTGCTGTCTGGCAAGTGCCAAATCACAGGATGGGCATCTTTTTCTCGGATCCAGTTGGTGACATCTCTTGGCGATGCGCCCAGGCCGACGCTCATCTCATCGACGCCCTGGCCATCCCCTGAGTCGCGGTTGGTCTTGAGGGCCGTGAGGATGTTGGAGCCTGCGGGGATGATGCCGCGGAGCGTCTGGAACTCGCACAGCAGGAACTTCTTCACCTCCTTGCGGGCCTCCTGCTCCATGTCCGCCTTCATGGTCCCCAGACTCTCCGGCCCGGTGTAGCGCTCGCAAGCACTCACCAAGTCCAGCGCCCGCAAGCCACCTCAAGGGCATCCAGACACCAAAAGTGCATGAAGCCCCTCACGACTAAGAGCAATGCAGCCAGGGGACACTCCTCTGTGAATTGCAGCCAATCCTCCTTGTGGCCGTGGAGGGCCAGCAAACGCTCTGCCTCATCATCGGTCAAGTCGCCCACCCAAATGTCCTTCTGACGCTGGCGGCCACCGGCGTCGAAGGCCATGGCCATGGCGGCCGAGGACGCGCACACGATCACCTCGGAGGCCGCGGTCTTCCCCGGACTCCCCTGGGGCTCCACCTAACGGAACCCAGCACTGTCGAGACTTTGGGACCCGGCATGCGCAGCCGCGCCCCTCTTGTCCGAAGACAGCTCCTTGGCAAGAATGGAGATCAAGTCCATTCCTCGGGCACAAATGCAACAGCAAAGCAACCCTTTGACCACACCGCGCCTTTTCTGGTCTCACGGGGGATGTCCAGGACAAGGATGGGCGCCTGGGTCGCCACACCGTCAAGCTCCTGGAGCTTGCGGCCAACTTCACAGAGGACCTCTTTCAGCATGCCGAGGCCGTCCACACCGAGGCTCTTGTACAACGCGTCCTTCCAGCCCTTGTCCTCTACGCAGTGCTCGAAGACGCCCTGCACGCCCCTGAGGGCTTCTTGGAGAGCGACCGACTTGCCGGAGCCGTACCGGCCTGTGATGATGGTCGCGTGCTGGCCCCAACCCTCCACCCGTTGGCGGATGGTGTGGATGACTTCGCGATCAACCACCTCATCCTCCCTTTTGTTGGGCTGGAAGGGCTGCATCAGTTTGTTCACAGCCGCTTGGATCTTGCCCTCGTCTGAGTCGCGCATGGCCCTCTCTGACTCGCGCTTGGCCAGCTCAAACTGACGCCAAGTAAAGACAATGCCACAAACTGTCGAGACAGTGCTGAAAATTGCAATCCCAACGTCCAAGCTGTCCTTGTTGTGCACAACCTTCTCAAAAACGGAGAGGTGCTTGTGTTTCCTGGCCAACCACGCAGGCAGCCATCCGGGTGGAGTCCATGCAGCCAGCTGCGCTCGCGGCTTCTTCGCTGGCCGCGCCCACCCGTTTGCCAGCGATACCTGCAGCAAGCAACATGATGCTTGCACACACGCAGCAGCGTTGGCACGTCGAGCCCGCCCTGCCTTGCTCGGAAGTGGTCGGCGCAAAAGAGGCGCCTGCCGCAAACAACCTTTCACTGAACACCCCCAGCAGCCGTGGATCTGCCCCGGCCTGTGGCGGCACGAACACCAGCGAGAGGCCGAACGTCAGCAAGAACAGCGCTCGCTTGCGTGCTCGCTGAGCGGCAGCCATGGCAAGAGCTCAATGCTGGACGCTTCCCCACCCAAACCTGTCGCACTCCATGCTCGGAGTCGTGTTCCAACACCTGCGACTCTCCCAACTGCTTTTTATAGAGTCAGTGATCTGAAGGGTGAAGGCGTGATCACGAAGAACCCAGATCCACTCCACCCCACCGGCTCCCCCCATCAGCACCCGAAGCTCTGAACACACTCCATCCAAGCACCGCCATGCACCCACGACCAATCAAGTAAGATCTTAAAATCTGTCAAGTGTCAAGCACGCTTTGAATGGGACATGAATTCGCATCAGCAAGTCTTTGGGCCTCATCAGCGAGGTTAAGGGTGGCGCCGCAGGCGCCTCAGCCAGAGCAGGCGAACTGCAACTCCGCCACAAGAAATGACTAGCTCACACATGAACATGTGTCAAAAATCTACGGCCGACACAGCCGACCCTACTTGAAACAAATCTAGCGCGTCCGAAATGAACCCGATGAAGTGAAGGCCATGCAGGGCAATACAGGCCATACCAGTTCTCTTGCAACGCCTCACAGACGTGCTGCTCAAGCGGCGCAAGACCTCTACCATTTCGTCTTCGTCGCTGTGCCCAGCAACTGTTGAGCTTCTGAAATCACCTGAGCGAGAAAGAGCTGACACGTCGCTTCGCCTCCTTGCGATCGAGCCGGTCCTTTCAGCCCAAAACCGACCGTTCAATCCTGATTCACATGTCCCCAGACTCGGCACTGTTGTCCTGTCAACGGCAACCAACAAAACTTGCAAACAGGCTTCAGAGAGGGGGAGTCCTCGCAGCCCTCGCGCAAAGCGAGTCTGGCATGCAACAGGCGCCGTTTTGTCTGACAGAGCAAAGTGCAATCCACACCAGTGGGCCTGAGAATTGGGCCAGTGCGCTGCGGTCCTGGCAAGGCAGCACAAACAGAAACATCACAAGGACTTCACGGTCCTTCAGTCCAGGAACTCCTCAACAAAAATCATGGGCAAAAGAGGGACTCCTAAAACCCGAAACCCCCGGTTGCCAAGACCCAAGCCGTGCTCGACCACTGCACGAGCAGCGCCAACGCAATCCCGAGAATGCAGAGGCACATACCTGGCCGCCGCAAACGCGGACACCGAAGCGTCACCAGCGGCCTCAGCTTCTTGTCCCAGTCTGCACCGCCGCCATGGCCATTGCAAAAGCGCTTGGGTGGCCTACGATTCCTCAGGCCTTGACACCGGACACATCAGGAAACCATTGCAAGCAGGTATTGTGTTGTGTCAGTGTTGATGAAAACTCCAATCTGCGTCTTCACGAGTTCTCTTCTCCCAACCCCTGGTTTCCCAGGCAAGCCCGCCTCTGAAAGCGGTCCCAGGAAAAAACAAAACCCTGCACAGCTTGAGTGTAACCTAAGCTCGAGGCTTTTACCCTTAGCCTGCCTTCGGCATTAAAGCTAAAGAGCGGAAGCAAAAATGCATCAAAGGGCGCAAACGCGTCGAAGATGAAAATGAGCAATCTGGGGGAGTCGGGTAAAAAAGTGACGCCCTGAGCACTGCGCAGCACGGCCCTTGCCTCACAGCTCCTGACGACTCGCCAGCGTCGCCTGCTTCAGCTTCGACACTTCTGCAAAACCGAATTGCGCACACATGAGCAACAACGGTGCCCGCAGGACCTGCTTGACAGCAAGTGAAGCTCCTTTCTGCTCGGCAAATCCTCAGCGTCTTTAAACTGGCCACTACGGAGATGATTGGGACTGGCTGTCCAAAATTTCGGCCGCAACCTTGGCATGCAGCTCTGAGGCAAACCTGTACTTGCTGTCTGGCAAGTGCCAGATCACAGGATGGGCATCTTTTTCTCGGATCCAGTTGGTGACATCTCTTGGCGATGCGCCCAGGCCGACGCTCATCTCATCGACGCCCTGGCCATCCCCTGAGTCGCGGTTGGTCTTGAGGGCCGTGAGGATGTTGGAGCCTGCGGGGATGATGCCATCCAGCGTCTGGAATTTGCACAGCAGGAACTTCTTCACCTCCTTGCGGGCCTCCTGCTCCATGTCCGCCTTCATGGTCCCCAGACTCTCCGGCCCGGTGTAGCGCTCGCAAGCACTCACCAAGTCCAGCGCCCGCAAGCCACCTCAAGGGCATCCAGACACCAAAAGTGCATGAAGCCCCTCACGACTAAGAGCAATGCAGCCAGGGGACACTCCTCTGTGAATTGCAGCCAATCCTCCTTGTGGCCGTGGAGGGCCAGCAAACGCTCTGCCTCATCATCGGTCAAGTCGCCCACCCAAATGTCCTTCTGACGCTGGCGGCCACCGGCGTCGAAGGCCATGGCCATGGCGGCCGAGGACGCGCACACGATCACCTCGGAGGCCGCGGTCTTCCCCGGACTCCCCTGGGGCTCCACCTAACGGAACCCAGCACTGTCGAGACTTTGGGACCCGGCATGCGCAGCCGCGCCCCTCTTGTCCGAAGACAGCTCCTTGGCAAGAATGGAGATCAAGTCCATTCCTCGGGCACAAATGCAACAGCAAAGCAACCCTTTGACCACACCGCGCCTTTTCTGGTCTCACGGGGGATGTCCAGGACAAGGATGGGCGCCTGGGTCGCCACACCGTCAAGCTCCTGGAGCTTGCGGCCAACTTCACAGAGGACCTCTTTCAGCATGCCGAGGCCGTCCACACCGAGGCTCTTGTACAACGCGTCCTTCCAGCCCTTGTCCTCTACGCAGTGCTCGAAGACGCCCTGCACGCCCCTGAGGGCTTCTTGGAGAGCGACCGACTTGCCGGAGCCGTACCGGCCTGTGATGATGGTCGCGTGCTGGCCCCAACCCTCCACCCGTTGGCGGATGGTGTGGATGACTTCGCGATCAACCACCTCATCCTCCCTTTTGTTGGGCTGGAAGGGCTGCATCAGTTTGTTCACAGCCGCTTGGATCTTGCCCTTGTCTGAGTCGCGCATGGCCCTCTCTGACTCGCGCTTGGCCAGCTCAAACTGACGCCAAGTAAAGACAATGCCACAAACTGTCGAGACAGTGCTGAAAATTGCAATCCCAACGTCCAAGCTGTCCTTGTTGTGCACAACCTTCTCAAAAACGGAGAGGTGCTTGTGTTTCCTGGCCAACCACGCAGGCAGCCATCCGGGTGGAGTCCATGCAGCCAGCTGCGCTCGCGGCTTCTTCGCTGGCCGCGCCCACCCGTTTGCCAGCGATACCTGCAGCAAGCAACATGATGCTTGCACACACGCAGCAGCGTTGGCACGTCGAGCCCGCCCTGCCTTGCTCGGAAGTGGTCGGCGCAAAAGAGGCGCCTGCCGCAAACAACCTTTCACTGAACACCCCCAGCAGCCGTGGATCTGCCCCGGCCTGTGGCGGCACGAACACCAGCGAGAGGCCGAACGTCAGCAAGAACAGCGCTCGCTTGCGTGCTCGCTGAGCGGCAGCCATGGCAAGAGCTCAATCGGTAACCTGCTTCCCACGCCGAAAAACCTGTCCGCACCCAAGCTCTGGACGTGTTCCAACACCCGCGACTCTCCCAACAGCTTTTTCAAATTAGAGTCATTGATCTGAGCGTGTTAAGTGCGTTGATCACGAAGAAACAGATCCCACTCGCAACCCCTCCGGCTTGCCCCCATCAGCAGCCGAAGCTCTGAACACCCTCCATCCAAGCACCCCCGCCATGCACCCACTTCCAATCAAGTTAGATCTGTAGAAATCTGTCAGTGTCAAGCCGCTTTGAATGGGACATGAATTCGCATCAAGCACTCTTTGGGGCCTCATCAGCGAGGTTAAGGGTGGCGCCGCAGGCGCCTCAGCCAGAGCAGGCGAACTGCAACTCCGCCACAAGAAATGACTAGCTCACACATGAACATGTGTCAAAAATCTACGGCCGACACAGCCGACCCTACTTGAAACAAATCTAGCGCGTCCGAAATGAATACAGGCCATACATGCCATAGATGCCACACAGGCCATACTGGCAATACAAACCATACGTGGCACACAGGTTGTACAGGTCATGTAGGCCGTCCAGGTCATACAGGCCATGCAGGTCATACAGGCCATACAGGCCATACAGGCCATACAGGCCACACAGGCCATACAGGCAATACAGGCCATACGTGGCACACAGGTCGTGCAGGTCACGCGGGCCGTACAGGTCATACAGGCCACGCAGGTCATACAGGCCATACAGGCCATACAGGCCACACAGGCCACACAGGCCATACAGGCCATACAGGTCATGCAGGCCACACAGGTCATGCAGGCCGTACCGGCCATACAGGCCAAACAGGCAACACAGGTCATACGTGGTACACAGGTCGTACAGGTCATGCAGGCCATACAGGTCATACAAGCCATACGTGGTACACAGGCCGTACAGGTCATGCAGGCCATACAGGTCATGCAAGCCATACAGATCACGAAGGCCACGCAAGTCATACAGACCAACCCATAAAGCACATCCAGGGCATGGAAGCCATACAGGGCTCACAGTCCTAACAGGGCATACAGGCATACAGGGCATACAGCCATTCACAGCCGCAAAACATGATCAAAAACCAGCAAATAGCATTTTGCTTGCGCGACTGCACGGTTCGCCCACCCTGCATGGCCTTATGGCCTGTATGACCTGTGTGACCTGTATGGCCTGTATGGCCTGTATGGCCTGAATGCTTCGTATGGCCTGTATGGCCAGTGTGCTCCATCTTGCCTGTATGGCATGTGTGCCACGTATGGCCTGTATACCTCGTATGGCCTGCATGCCCCCTATGGCCTGTATGGCCTGTATGCCCTGTATGGCCTGTGCATGCCTGTGACTACACAAGCAAATGAATGTTTGCAAAATGAAGTGTTGGCGCACCAAAGGATGCGGACAAGGCTTGCAAACGAGGTCATCAGCGCCATGTCGTTAGGACAAGTTCGCAAAAACAAGGCCCGTGGCACCAGACTCGGTAGAACGAGGCCCTGACCAACGTGGTTGCAACCAGCTGGCAAAAACAAGGCCCTCGTGAACCAAAGTGGTTGGCAACAGGTCGAAAAATAAATCGCAAAAATGAGGATTCAACAGCAAGCTGGCAAGGAAGAAACCTGGCACGAATCAAAGAAAACTGTCCGACTTACAAACCTGCCATGCAAATGAGTTCCGGGCCAACCACGACTCGCTCCACCTACGCATATCCAGAAGCGGCAAGCGCCGAAACCGGTGCAAGGCCCAGGCCAAAACTGCGCCAAAAGCCACCTCCACCCCCGGGAAAAACTACCAAATACGTTTCTCCCACACTTTCAGGATGCACCTCTCCAACTAGAAACGGCCGTCCCCCAACAGGAAAAGCAACAAAGTACACCAACCCAAGAAGCTCAAAGTTGTAACAAGCCCTGCATGGCCTGTATGGCCTGTATGACCTGTGTGGGCGTGTGGCCTGCATGCCCCGTATGGCCTGCGTGACCTGTTGCCTCTATGACCTGCACGACCTGTATGATCGGTATGACCTGTATGACCTGCATGGCCTGTATGACCTGTACGACCTGTATGGCATGTAGGGCATTTATGGCCACAGTCATCTTTTTGAACTTCGCCCAATCTAGCGCGGCCGGCGTGATTTTAGCCTTGACCTGAGCGGGCGTCATCTCGTCATACCTCAGAGTGTCCACGTCCGGCAGCATGCTCCCTTGTCCACAAGTCGATCGCCCCCATGGGCCGCCGGTTGGGCCTGAAGCAATTCAAGCAGCCCAGCCAGGACCGTCATGGCTGCTCTGATGCTTCAGGTCTGAAGCCAGCGACTTGCGGCCGAACGCATCATGAAGGGGCACACTCCCCTGCAAGGGTGGCTGAATGGACGTAGCACAACATGTACTTTTTGTTTTTTTTGTACTTTTTGCACTATTTGCACTTTTTGCGCTTTTCGAGCCCCCGACCCCCTGGACCGGCAAGAAGTATTGCCAAAGGAAGCACCTGCGCAGAGCACAAAAAGTGCAAAAAGTGCAAAAGGCACATGTTGTGCTTTAGAGCTCCTGGTGTCCGCGATCCACAGGGAGACGGCCATCAGAGGCACCTGCACAGAGCACAAAAAGTGCAAAAATTGCAAAAAGTGCAAAGGCACATGTTGTGCTTTTGAGCTCCTGGTCCGCGATCCACAGGGAGACGGCCATCAGAGGCACCTGCACAGAGCACAACAAATGCAAAAAGTGCAAAAAGTGCAAAAGGCACATGTTGTGCTTTTGAGCTCCTGGTCCGCGGTCCACAAGGAGACGGCCATCAGAGGCACCTGCACAGAGAACAAAAAGTGCAAAAAGTGCAAAAAGTGCAAAAAGTGCAAAAGGCACATGTTGTGCTTTTGAGCTCCTGGTCCGCGAGCCACACAGGGAGACGGCCATCAGAGGCACCTGCACAGAGCACAAAAAGTGCAAAAAGTGCAAAAGTGCAAAAGGCACATGTTGTGCTTTTGAGCTCCTGGTCCGCGATCCACAGGGAGATGGCCATCAGAGGCACCTGCACAGAGCACAAAAAGCGCAAAAAGTGCAAAAAGTGCAAAAGGCACATGTTGTGCTTTTGAGCTCCTGGTCCGCGATCCACAGGGAGACGGCCATCAGAGGCACCTGCACAGACGATCCACAGGGAGACGGCCATCAAAGGCACCTGCGCAGAGCTGCAAAAAGTGCAAACTGCACATGTTGTGCTTGGGGAGCTCCTGGTCCGCGACCCACAGGGACACGGCCATCAGAGCCCTGGAGCACAAACAACGATCACCGAAAAGCGCGTGACACGGCACGAAAAGCGGCATCACCGGCATCAGATTGACAGGAATCCCGCATTACGACATCCCCGCATCATCCAAACCAGTGAAACGAGCGAAAAACGAAAATCCGAAAACGACCCAAAGTAAGGGAAGGGTAGTTCCCGGGAGCACCAGCAACGATCCTGGAAAACACCGAGAAATCTGGGCATGTGCGAGGGATGCACACACATTTTGGAAGACCCATCGATTAGCATGTATGTGAAGTGGGCGCAATGCACAAGCCTGACATACTCTGGACTACAGATGGCCGAGCGGCTGGTTATTTTGAGCCAGGTGCAAGGCGCGACGCACGGCAACGCTGCCCAGCTGGCCGACATGGTGCGCGTGTCGACAGGACAGCGTGAGTTGCTGGAGCCTTTCGTTGGACACAGGCCTTTCGCTGGACACAGGCCAGACCCCAGCCGTTGGCAGTGATGGCTTCCTGATTTAGCGGAGTACGAAGCGTGCAGAGTTTGAAGCGTGGAAAAGAGTCAGAGAGCCTTGCGTAGTGCGAATGCGAATTAGGGGCAGGCCTATTGAAAGTGA